CAGGAGCAATGTTCGGCCCAAACACACCCAGTGTGCCCGGGTGAAGCCCTTCCCTAAGTGTGAGGCCCTGGGCCCCCTGGGTTTGTTTGTCCCAAGGGCTGTAGGCAGGTGAGCCAAGATGAGCTGCTCATCATTGTCATGAGAAGGCATTTCTCAGCTGACTACAACCTAAGAGCACATGAGGAATCCAGTGCCTGAGCTGAACAAGAAAGTGAAGGCACGTTCAGCCTTTCAGCATCTTCTAATAGAAGGGAAAGCAGTTCTGTGCATTTTCAATGGGCTTCCCTGAATCTTTTGAACCCTGCTATGGATGAAAACCCAGGAAACACCCACCCTGAGGACTCACTGGACTGTGCAAAGCCTTCACCTCATCCTAAGTGGGTTATTTCGTACTGTGCTCCAGCAGGGCACTCGCTGGCTTCATAAACAAATGGTCAGTGTGTTTTCAACTTGAATATCATGGGCTGATCAGCTCCTGTTATTTTAGATTATGTGCTTGGCAAAGCCTGAAAATAATTGGAGACTATGTGGAAAAATAAAAATAGAAATTTGAAAGGAAGCAGCACTGGCTTCTGAAGTGCAGCACTGACAAAGGAGCACATGAGCCAAATGCTCCCACTGAAAGAAAAAAAAACTACTCTACACTCACATCTGCAGGCGCAGATCCGGCACAAAAAAAGAAACAGTGAGATTTGGGGAAGCAGCTCAGGGCTCTAAAGCTTGCCTGTTTTCCCTGGCTCTACCAGTTGGGCTGCAGAGAGCAGTCAGCGCCTGAACCTCACAGCGTCCAACAGCTCAGAGTGCTCCCACAACAGATCCTCCTTTCCATCAATGGTTTGTGCACATCAGCATTGGTCCCTGCGCTGTGCCACCTCCTCGCCTGGCTCCCACCGGCCCCCCCTTCTGGTTTCCATCAGCCCCTGAAAGGTCCCATCCTGTGTGAGCTGCCCCGGTGTCATCAACAGCATCTCTGGTGTTGGAGTGGGCACAACAGCCCCGCAGCCTGAGCGCTGAGAGGGTTAATTAAAGGTGCCTGAGACGTTAGAAAGCTGCAAAGTAATTATAAAAGGCAGCAGAAAAAAGCCAGCAACCCTAAGCAGACATGAAGGCCCTCTTAAGAGAAAAAAGGCATGTTAATTAACCTCTAGACATGATTCAAAGCATCATTTGTAGCATGATTACCATAATCCCCCAAGTGCAAACACACAACTGGCATCAACCATCAGTCACAGGGCTGAACGCTCCCCCACCCCTTCATCACATCAGCACATTTGAGCAGGGGATGGTGTGACACAGGAGACAAAAAGAATCTCACTGCCCAGAGATGGACATCACTGAATGGACATCCCAGCTGTGAGTTGCTGCCACCCTATGCAGTGCAGGTGGCCACACTCCCAGGTGTGCTCTCAGCATCCCCCCAGGCGTGCCACCAGCTCTGCACTGGAAGCTCCTGAACCCACTGTCAGCTTTGCTTGCTTCACTCCCCATAGCCGCAGCTTCAAACCCTTCCTGCCAGGCTCTGCCACTCCATCAAAGGGCTGGTGGTTGCTATCAAAAGCTCCTAGATTCTCCTCCGCATGAGGATCTTGGCTTTCACTTAAAGGAGCTGCCCGCAGGATTGCTTAAAAGGATGGAAATGGATGTCACAAGTTCTGAAAGCAAAGAAAAAGAGAGCCGCAGATTCCCCGAAGAAGAATCTCCTGCTTGATCTCACAGCCAGAGCTCGCAGCTCTGCTGGGCACCGACATGCAGGCACTCACACGAGGGAGCCAATGCCACAGCCTGCCTGAGCCAAACTGCCAGGGATGTTTTGTTATACCACACACCACCAAGCAGCCACCACTGGAGGTATTCTCACCCTCACCGTGCCACAAAGCTGGAGGGGGAGCACTTTTCCCTGCAACAGACAGCACTGCTTGTAGTTCATCGATATTTGGGAGGCATTAATAAAAGGCGACAAAGATGCACCACCAAAATCCCCTACAAATTCCACTCGGTACCACAGCACTGCTTGCCCCAACCTGGGGTGCTCAGGGCCCTGTGCTCCATCACAGAATGGCTGTGAGGCCGTGTGATGGCTGAGGCTGCATGGAGCTGATGCTTATTCCAATGAGTCACTGCTGAGCTCTGTCCTTATCTTGAAAGTTTGTTATTGCTCGGAAGTGTTTATCTGAATGACGTTTGCAAAAACATCTGAACAAAGGCCAACTTATGGAAACAATGGCATTTTTGCATGTTTTTATATAAGTAGGAGGGATTGTAAGCAGCCGGTTCTTCTCTTCACAATTCGTAACATTTGTTTTTAATGACAATTTTAAGGACTGTGACAGGATTTAAGCATCGCACGCAGACCTGGAGTCCTTGGAGGCAGAACAGCACAGCTTCACAACAGCTGAGGAATTCAGCTACTGACACACATTGTGCCACAACCATGGGGATTTCACCCCCGCTGTGGGATTTCCACAGCACTGCAAACTGGGGTGAACCAAAGTTGTGTGCTTGGGGCAGCAGCAGCAAAAACCTCTGAGTGAGAAGGCTGGAATAAAAGGAAAGGAAAAGAGGATGAAAGGGCAGAGGGGCAAGCAGCCTGTATCAGCAGCGCTGAGCTTTGTATGCTGATGGTCCCTGAGCACACAGAAAGGGGCAGGCAGCTCTTTGTCATACCGGGACACCACACGACCCTCCAGCCAACGGGGCAAGCGGAGAGACCTTGGCCTCCTTCTCCCAAACCAGCAGAAGGGGTTGGACAGGCAGAGGAACAGCAGCAGTCCCCACATCCAGAACTAGTTGGAACTAGGATCCGCGTGTTGTGGTTAGCAACCTCGGGCAACAAGCAATGCTCAGAGCCTCAGCAGGAAGCATCAAACCCTGGAAGCACCAAACCCTGTTGCTGTGTCCTGACTCCCTCCCATACGAGATGCAGCAGCTCACCCGGGCAGGTCGGGAGATGAGGGACGCGGCAGCCAGGATACGCCGGGACCGCGGCCGAGATGTGCACCGCGCCGGCACTGCCCCCAACCCGCACCGAGGAGCCCGCAGATTTCCGTGCGCTGCCCCGAGCACAGCCCAGCATCCCCACCACGGAGAGCATCCTGAGCGTGCTTGGGGACAGGAGACGGGGATGCGGGGGATGGAGGGGTGGTTGGGAGCAGCACGGGAGATGCAGGGATGCACAGGGGAAGCAAAGGGTCTGAAGGTATTGCCGGGATGCTAGTGGCAGCACTGGGATGCTAAGGCAGGTCCGGGGGACAGGATGCTGGGGAGTCTGGATCAGAACAGAGGATGGTCAGATGATGACGGGGGGAAATTAAAGCGGCGAGGAGAAGGAAAGAGAGATACCGGGGAGCCTGGGGCAAGTCTTGGGGGACGCAGAAAGGATGATGGAGAGGACGCTGGAGAACCCGGGGCTGGGCGGGAGCGTGTCGGGGAGGTGACGGGAGAACACCGGGGAGCCCGGGGAAGGACGGCGGGGTGCGGCGGGGCGGAGGCGCTCACCTGCCAGGAGCCGGAGGGGATGTCTCCGAAGCCGCCGGGACCGGCGGAGCCGTGGCAGCCGCGGGGCGGGCCGGAGCACCGCCACAGCAAGCCGAAGCCGGCGGCGGCTCTCCCGGGCGGCAGCAGCCAGGCCGGGGAGAGGAAGGCGGCTGCGCAGGCGGCCAGGAGCCCCGCGGAGAGCAGCGCCCAGAAGCAGCCGACGCCGCTGCACATGGTGCGCCGGCGGGGCAGGGAACCCGTGCCCCGCGCCGCCCCCGCGCCCGCCACCGGCACCGGCACCGAC